TGGAATTAGGCTGGGGTACATTAGGCTTGTTTCTCCCCCTTAAGAGTTATAAATTCACCATCCAATAAAAATTTAATAGTTGAACTACTGTAATCTGCAATATGTGGACCTAAAGTAGCTAGCCACGATGATCCAATAACAATGTCTAACCCAACTTTGTCTAAAATATAGGCTGTCATCAAAATAACATATTACCCAATTTGGACTCAAATTGCGTACTAGGTCTAAACCCTTCATTAACCGTCCATTACCCACCAATACATTTATGGGTCGGGTGGCTTCCACCGATAGTTTTAAGTGGTTCACCAAGCGAGGGTGCACGTAACTGTCGAAACTCCCGCCATCAAGCAAAACCTGAACCATTATCCCTTTCAGTATGCCGGAGAATCTAATAGTAGCGTTATTAGGCGTGCCATTGTAAGCCTATAAAGAGATATGATGAAAAGTAGTAGTCTCCACCACTTCCTCTGTTTTCATGGCAAATTGAATTGGAAGCTCTAGTTCATCCTCTTCTCCTTCATTTTACAACCACATAAATTGCTGATTGGTGTATCTATGATTAAGGGAGAACTTTTCATCACATGTATAACACAAGCCCTTCTCACATCTAATTTGTATTTCCACTGGCATAATCTTGCGCACCGAAACTAATGGTTTACTTGGGAGTGTCGAAAGCAATGGAGTTGTTGTCACTTTCGAAAACCTACCCTAAGAGCTAGAGCTCGGCACACTCGTAATGGGTTTCACATCCAATGGTACAATAGTTCCGAAGCTCCCTGTCTGCTGTTTAGTCGTGTTATTGACAAAAGCATATTTATCATTAAAGAGTCGTGTTAGACTCACAACTTGCAATAAATTCTCTGGAGAACGTGCCAGCACTTCTTACCTTAACTCAACCAATGAAGCAATCCAATAAAGCATCGTCAGTTAGCCCCTTGGTCCTATTAGCCAACGTCATGAATTGTTGATGATACTCATCAAATGAGTCTTACTAGGTCAATTTAAACAATTAAGATCTGGGATGCTCGAATTGAGTAGGGCCAAAATGAGCCTCAATTGCCTGAGTTAAGCTCTCCCAAGTCGTAATCAGATTCACCTTCAACATCACAATGATGCGTTGTGAAGTTGTCATCTAGTATACTGCCTTGCACGAAATATCTACCCATGGAGGTCAGTGCCATCAAATTGAGGAAAATTGATCTTTACCTGACGTTAAGGAAAATTAGGGAATGAAGATTCACCCCACGACCCATTGCCTCCATGTTGCAGCACCTACTTGTCATTACTATAACCCATCGATTCAATCATTTTTGCCATCGCGTCCATTCACAATTCTAACTTCTCCAAATTCAATTTTGGTGCACAAACCAAAGCGCCAATGGCAGCTTCCAACTGTTCCATTCTCTGGTGAGGAGCCTTCACTAAATCTCCAAAAGCACTCTCCAATCGATCCATACGTGAACTGCTAGGAAGCTCTACTCGTTCTATGAACTCTCTCATGCTCTGTATGTTCCCTTGCAGAATTTTGATGTCGCTTGATAGCTCTTCCAATTGAGTATTCTCTATCATCACTCTCAACAAGAGCACCAATTTGTCACGATCACAAGCCATTTTGGTAGAACTCACCCCCAAAAGGTGCCTTGTAGGGGGAGGGTGCCCATATGACTTAGAAACCACACTCCACTAATGTGACCTCTTGATGTGGGACTCATGACAAAACATTTCATAGAATCCAGATTCCATGATTGATTGTCAGCCCAAAAAAAAATTTGATGAAATTTTCAGCTATCTCGTTTCAATTTTTTTCCATTCCTTTTTTTTTATCAACTCATTTTTTTTGAGGGAATTATAATCAGATCTCACATAAGAAAATTAATTATGACAAAATCCAGTGATAATTGAACTAAAAAAATTAACAACACAATCATTTGTCAATCTTCCTAATTCAGTTATCACTAGACCTTATAATAATTAATTTTTTTGTGTAAAACTTTAACATAATTCTCCTTTTTTTCCCTTCTAAGTCTATCCTTCTCATAAATTGACTTGGACAAGGTCAAGTCTCTTCTATTTTCCTTTTTATTTTCAATTCTTGGTTATTGACTCCTTATTAGGTCGTTGGTTGAAAACAACAAATCCCCTAAAGTCTACAGATATTAATTCACCTGTACTCCGTTTGGACTTTTTTTCTATGAAAAAAGTCATTTTTTATTAATTTTTAAAAATGGTTTACACATGCTAGTATCAAAATGAGAAAGAGACTTTTATCAACCAAAAAAAAAAAGCAAAAATAGTCTAGCAGATCTTAATTTTTTCTATAAGTACTTTTTTGCTAATAAAATGAATGTAGTTTAATCCATGTGAACTAAAATTTTATATTGATTAATAATAATTATGTTATCCATATGGAGAATCTAAAACCAATGTTAAAACCAGACCGGATCGAACCGAACGATCCGACCGATCCAACCGCCACCCGCTGAGTAAAATGGTTTGGTTCAACCAATTGAACCAATCTGACATTTGACCCGGATTGAACTGGTCGGTTTTGAGAGAACCGGCTTTGACCCGGAAACCTGAGTTGGGTCAACCCGATTCAAGGCAAAAAAAATTTAAAAAAAAAGAACTTTAGGCTAAGTTGTTTAGATTCGCAATTTCTCTTCTCTAATCACTAATTCTCTCTTTTCTTCTCTTCTCTAATCTCTAATCTCTCCTTCATGGCCCAAGCTCAATCTTTAACTTTTCCTCCAACCTCTACCTCCAGCTCTAGAGATCTAATCTTTGGCATCAAGACCGGAAGCTTGTGAGTTATGACATGACGGCGTGCCTCCAGCTCCAGCATTTTCCTTCAAGATCACAAGCTTATATTGACATGCCTCTACCTCTAGCTCCAGCGGTCCAAGCATCTAGCTTTTGGAGTTAAGATCCCAGGCACAATTGACAAATTAATATTTTATTTATATAGTTGCATATATAAATATTATTTTTTATTTAATATTTATGTTACCGGTTAGACCGGCGGTTGAACCGGTTAAACCATAAAAACTGTGACCCGGTACTCTTTTTAGTTCAATGTCCGGTCCGAGTTTCAAAACATTATCTAAAACAACAAGAAGAAATCGAAACAGAGGGTACAATTTTAGTAGCCAAATAGTTTGATGCATCAATGAGTTTTACAAGTGACGTTTGGCCTCAACTAATTTGGATTAATTCAAGTTGAGTTTAACTACCTAAAAGTAAAGCTCTTGTAAGAAACGATAAATAATTAAACCAGTGAGGTCTTTTCATTTAGAAAATAAATTGGGCAAAGAAAAGATGTAGAAATATTTTTATCATGACTCAATTGAGAAGGACTGTGAAAGGATAGAAAACCTACCAACTTGACTTCTAAGCTATTGGAATATTTCATGCACCCTCCTTGTATTAATTTAAGAGAAAAATATATTCATGAATTTATACTATATAACAAAAGATTATAAAAGTCGTAATTATTTTTATGAATATTGTGTTATTAAATATTCTGGTATTTAAATTAGACATTATGAAATTCTTTTAAAAAAATTGTAGCCATAAATAGCTGACTTAAAACTTAATACTAACTTTTTAAAACCCCTCATAAAACTTCATTAAAATTTGAATCCAAAAATTATGCTTTTTAAGACTAAATAATATACAAGTTTAAATATTTAGACATAAAGCCCAAATTTCAAATTAAAGCCTGTAGGAGACCATGGTCCTTTAAAGGCAATATTTTTAAGCGAATATATCAAGGGAAAAATCACAAATAAGGTCCTCTGAAAATTACAAAAAACTAATCAAGACACAAAATTAGGAAGTTACATTTTAGGACTATGGTCCTTTTTTGTAGTTTTAATGATTATACTTTGATTAAATGTCTACATCTGAAATCTCAACTTAAAATTCACTAATGCTTAAATTACTTCAATTATATTTGAAACTTAGTTAGAGAAAGTTATGAAATCACTTCATTTGAATTAGAAATGTTTTTACTCCTAGATATGCAATTGGCTAACTTAAAATTTTCTAGTGCTAAATTTTAATTAAGTTGAAAATTTAGTTGAAAGGTGTTATGATATCACTTCATTTGAATTGAAAAATTTTACTCCCAAACTTGTAATTAATCAGTTTAAAATTCACTAATACTGAAATCACTTTAATTGAATTAGAAATCTAGTTAAAAGGAGTTATTAAATCACCTTTTTTTTTCCCCCTAAGGTATCTCTACAACCAGCAGCATGAAGCGCATATTTGATAAAATATTAATTAAATTTTTTTAATATTATTTTTATTTAAACTCATTAATTATAAAACAAAATGCAATGTCGATTTAAAACTTTTTTCATTTAAACATGAATAATGTTCTTGTTTTTAGACAGTTAACACATTACATCCTTGTATGATTTCATTGCGACGGATGAAATCCTACTAGTGCCTAACAACCTGCTTAATTCACTGCTTATATGTGTGTTCCGCCAAACTAGGACAATGGATTTGCATGATGCAATTGTTTTTTCAAGAGGGAGAAAGTTAAAAATTTTCAGTTTTTAATATTTGCAAGGCAACGTCAATTTAATTTATTCTTACTTTACAAATCGTTAATTTCTCGGTCGAGTGGCATCACGTGGTGTTCTAATATCAACGAACAAGAATTTCCTTCCACCTATATTCAAAAAGGCTTTCATTAACATTCAAAGTACAAGTTTGAACAGGAACTTTACACCATGTTTGGGAGATTGTTTTAGGGGAGAATGGAATAGAGTAGAATGCCTAAAAGGCCCAAGCCTAGGAATCACTGAATGGTTTGAATCTCTTATGGTATAAAAATGCTCTTGCACAAGTATAAACTGTATAGTTTGGTGCATAAAAGATCAAAGAGTTCGTTTACCACAGTCCACAGGCACTAACACACAACACAAACCTAACCTTTCTAATTGGACCAACAGCTTCAAAAGGTCAAAAAAAAAAATTTTGCCAGAGAGTTGAGAGAGTCTCAAACATATTAGTTCAAAATATCTCAAGAATATCATATCATTAATGCATAATTCAATCAACAAAAATACTCAAATTAACAACCGAACCTAACTAAATGGGTTTGACATATGGAAAACCAATTTTCACTTCTAGTTATTGCACTAATTTTGAAGCAGGTTGAAGCCAAGAAGCATCTATCAGAATTTTCTCCTACGAGAAAAGCATTAGATTGAACAAAGAATTGTTACCTGAGGCTAAAATTAAATACAGAGCTTTATATCTGTCACAAAATTGGAAGGAAACAAGTGCACTACCACCGCTCATGAGAGGCATTTAAGTCTTGCAAATGTCAAATAGCCTGTATGACCTCTTGCTTCACCATTAGGTCTAGCCATAACAGTAGAAACACTACTGCTACTGCTAAGCACATTGCTTCCATCAGAACATTGCCTTCTCTTGCAGGGAAGAGAACCATTAGCAGCATTCCCTTCCCCTACAATCCCATCCATTCTCTCTTCTCGAACTTCATATGTTCGCAGGAGCACCTCAAATGTCCTTATATCTATACATATGCCAAAACCAAAAAAAAACGTACGAGTTAAATAGATCCTTTTACATGCACACACACAAAGAATTAAAGAAAGAATACAAAGGTACCTGTGAAGCTGGTTTGGAGTGCTTCACATGATCGTTGTACTTGTTCAATGCATGGAGAGAATGAGCACAAAGTTCCATCCTGTTTTAACATTTTTGCAGCTGAAGGAATGGCTAGCCAAGGTTGGGGTAGATCAAGAAATACAGCATCAGCTAAACCAGCAAATTCATCAGGAAATCCCTCACCCTGGATATCTCTCACATTCACACTGATCAAGCTGCTTAGTCCCGTCCTCTCAAAATCTTCCCTGAAATGAGATATGGATCAAGTGAACATCTGACCCAAAATTGTTTATCTATCACAATGTAAACCTCATAAAACAAATAATAGTAATGTAAACCTCTTTCTCTCCCACCCACACTCAGACACACTCTGTAACTATCAAATGCATTTTAAATCGTGTGTAGAGTTCTAACAGAAGTAAGCGCCCTTAAAATGGCAGAGATTGCTAGATCGACTAGTACAGAAGCATATAATTATTTGTTTCAAGAAATATAAGGCTTGAAAATTTTACATGCAAACCACATAGCTGAAGCTAATAAAACAAACAAGTAGACCTGTAAAAGATAAAAACAGACATACCGTATATCCAAAAAAAAAAAAATATGAGATAGCAATTTCTAATGTAAGAATGTGAATATTATCTTTATGGTTACCTAGCTGATGCAGCTCTTTGTTCATGGAAATCAAACGTATGGACATGTCCTGTAGGAGCAACAGCCCTTGCAAGAGACGTGGTCAAAGACCCACTTCCAGTTCCAGATTCCATCACCAAGCAACCAGGAACAATCTCCAGGTACATGATTACAAAGCTAATATCAGCAATATAGAGAATCTGAGTCCGATGGCTTAATACAAGAGTCCATAACTCTGGAGTAGGAGCCAACAAGTATACAAAACCACCCTTATTGCTGAACACCTTGGAACCAAATGGCTTTCCTATCCAGTCAGAATGCTTGAAAACTCCAAAACGATTCTGGAGGACAGAGTTTTCAGACACCGTTACTGGCTTCATGCTGTCATGCCTCTCATAAACAATAACCAAATCGCCATTGCTAATGAATCGATTAAAAGATAGCTTATTAGCAGGATTACAAACAAGCATGTTGGAAGTCTTCAAATTCTTCAGCACAGTCCCGAAAAGTTAAACGATCTGCCACAAAATGAAGAACAGAAGGAAACCAATGAAACATGTGGGGCTCTAAAAAAGCAAAGTCTTCAAAGTTCGTGGAATAAAACTAACATTACACACTTCTATATACTGTTAAAGTAAATGGTACCCGCGTAAATCTTCCCGAAATAGATGAATCACTCATTTCATCCCACAACTAATACTAGATCAATTTTGCACATAAACTATCAGGGACTCCCTCACAGATGAACTCACAAATAATCCTGTTTCACCACAAATAAAATTTCAAACAGAAAACCAAAAGAAGAGAAGAAAATCAGGCACCTGAGTAGCATTAGAATATAAAGCTTCGGAGTACCGAAAGGAAAGGGACAGAGTGAAGGGGCAATCCGTAGTCCAATACCTGAAGATACAAGAAATTTGCGAAGCAGATGAAGCTCGGAGGACTGAGAAGCTGGAACGAAGACAGTCCAGGAGGAGGAAGAGCATATAGAAGAAATACTTGCTGTTGAGACTCGAGAATGCTGCGTATTCCCTTGAAGGTTTGAGTAGTCTGATGCAAGGAATTTTAACTGTAATCTGTAAGTCTGTAACTGTAAGCCTAACACCAAAACCCTAGCAGCTTCACGCTACTCGCTGAGGAAAAAGAGGAAGCTCTTCTTCTTCTGCAGTTGCTTCCGAAACGCACCGTGCGTTTCTTTCTTTTTTTGTTTTTTTAAATAGAAATTTTCTAGTATGTTTCTTTTTTGGATTTAATTGATATATAATTCAACAAATTTATAGTATTAGCTTCCAGCATAGAGATAAACTTCCAAAAATACAATCTTTTACTCATAAGAGTATAATATGCTCTCAAAATACAATCAACTGTAAACACATACAACCGCAAAAAGTGATTCAATCAATCTCCATTTAATGTGTCTTCTTGTGATAGCATAATGACTCTAAACAGTATCCACTTTAATATATCCTTTCACATGTGTGCATTTGTTTCTGTCTCTTCACTACTGCGGACCCTTTTTCTCATAAACTTGGTTCCTCTTCCTGTCTCTTTGTCAGGACCTCTTCTAATGTAGTTTTGCCTAGAAGAGTGACAACTGACTAATCCCCTTACTTCATGCTCACCCTTTGTCCTTAACTTGTTTTATGAGGATCTCTATAAAATCAAATCTTTATCTTCTAAATTCTAATTCACTAGCTTTTATTTTAAAATTTTATGCATTTTAATCCATGTTAATTTGAAGTAAAACTCGTTAATTAGTTATTATACTTTTTAAGCCATACAGTTTGCCCCCTCTATTTTTCAGTCAGAAATCTTGCGGAACAAAGCAATAAAGAGACAAAGCGACACAAATATTGAGAAACACAAAACAAGAAGCAAATCAAATCACAATTATTAATAAACTCTAAATCCTACCGATGAAGGCATAACAGCTAGCGGCAATTACCACAGCAAAAGATAGCAATACGTGTGGATGTGGATGCCTCTGTCAATCAACAAAAATATGCTGCATGTGGGGAAATTCTCAAAAATGAACATGGGGATTGAATACTTGGATTCAAGTGGTAGCTAGGTGGTATATCTGTCACAGCTACTGAGATATGAGCTGTACAGACTGGTTTAGAGGTATGTAAACAACAAAATTTTAAAAAGATCAATATGTTCTCTGACTCTTTGGAAGCAGTAAACATACTTTTCAGAGATGGCTGCAATAATCCTACCTTCAAAAATATAATGATTCAAACTAGAGAGCTGATATATAGTGATTGAGATCTCACCATGAACCAGACTTTAATAAATTTTTTGGGATGCCCATGGAGTGGGTGAAAACATTATGTTAATATGGCATTGCTGACCAAGCTGTTTTGATATCTTATTGTCAGACAAGGGCAATTGTAATTAGCCCTTTTCATTTCTTTTCAAGCTACTGCTTGCTTTTGTAATTCAAAAAAAAAAGATAGCAACATATAGGATCAGGAAAGATGGAGTTCAAAAATAGAGATCCAAACATTTCCTTCCCAATGCACGGCAACGGCAAGACTCCCTCGAGGAACTAAATGAACCCACCACGAGACCTGAGGTGAGAGAATCCAGCAAACCAACCCATCTTTTGAACCCAAAAAGCTTTATTTTTTTTTTTTTTTACAAAAAGAGGGCTAAGCCCAATACACCAACCCATCTTAGTTTCGTAGCTGACTTTCTCCGCCAATCCTCCAAAACTGTAATTTTGAGCAATACCATTAGAAAACTTTCCTCACAAACTACAATTACTCCACCCATTAATCTCACTCCTATTATATATGATCATATGTTTAATTGTGATATCAAAACCATTTTGGCATATGTTTAATTGTGATATCAAAACCATTTTGATCACAAACTACCCACTTTGAATTAGTCTTTTTTTTTTAATCTAATGATGATTTTGTTAATTGGACAGGGAAAACAACAGGGGAAAAAAGAATTTGCAGAGTCTATTCAAATATTGGCCACAAAAAAAATATTTCATTTATTTGAAGTCTTATTAAGGATATCAACTTCAGGCGAAAATTTATTAACTCTATTTTGAAACTAACACATTTCTCCAATTCTAATGTGAACAATTTCCTAAAATATGTCTCACTTATTCAAAGCTTGAAGGACGTCGACTCCATCAGGTGATAAAAAATCAACCCTATAATTTAAGGCCAACACATTTCTCCCATTTTAACGTGAACCTTCAAGATGATATATATATATATATATATTTGGTAGGAACCTTCGTGATGATTAAACGACAATTATATGTCACTTAAATTAAATGCAAATGTATGTTTGTCTTTTTCCCAAAAAAAAAAAATCAAAATAGAAGAGATTAGTTTTCTCTTATATCATATTCTGGAAAATCTAGGACTATTATTACCTTCAGCTCAAATGAATCCAAACTTGCTGTGTGAATACATTATTACTATTGACTCATGACTATTTCAGTGATGCCTTTAATATATTTACTTAACCTGACTGCATTACTCAAGGTTTAAACTTGATATTTTAAAATAAGCTGATTCAATTTTTTTCATTAGTTGAACCAATGTCAACTTTTTTTTCATAATCAAAAGTTTAGGATAGTTGAATTAAGATTCAAAAAATATTTGTAGATATATTTATAAATTACTCATCAATAAGGTTCTCATATTAATCATGAAATTTGAACTCACTATTTTGTGAATTACAAAATCAAGTTTTGAAATCTACCGGTTTTATTATTAGTGGAAGAAGAGAAAATAAATTAATTGTAAGCGTTGAATATTTGAATAGAATCATTGATTTCCCGGAAAATTGATACTTGATAATTGCAGTGAGGAAGTTTGAACGAAGAAACAGGCAATATGTGCGTACGAAGTCTTTAACTTGTACTTAATTTCGTGGAAACGAGTGAGGTACGATTTTTTGTACCCTCTCTTTTTTCTCATCTTCTTCCACCAATTCCAATCCCAAGTCAATGCTTAGACTAAGACCAAATTTCTTTTTTATTCCATAATTATCTCTGACACTGCTATTTCATTGTCTTATAATTATCTTCCACGAAACCACTTTGCAATATATATATATATATATATATATGTATGTATGTATATATATTTTAATTATTTGCAGGAAATGCATCGACAGAACCTCTCAGCAATGACATGTTTGACACGGCAAGGCGAACACATATGAACATTTGAGAAAGTTGTTTTAGTCGGCATCAAAATAGAATTATAAATGCTAATGAATAATGACCACACGACTCACACACAATCATGGATATTTTTTCAATATAAAAATAGAAATAATTTTTGTTAAATTAGTTTTTTTAATTAGAAAGGTTTGAACTTTTGACCACTATTTTTCACCCGTGCTGCCTAAACCAAATAAAATGGTTTATTATTGATAATTTTATTATTACCCTAATATTATTAAGGGAGAATTACTATTAAGTCCTAAAAGAGCACATTAATAACAAATAAATCCCAACAAGATTTTAAAAAATGAATTATAAATATCAATTTAAATAAATTACAGATTCAAGAGTTTTAATTATAAATTAGCTAGGAGTTTGCCTCAAATCTTAAATTTAAGATATTAATCTCAAATGTCTTGAAGATCAAGAAAAATCTTTCATATCTTCCATATTTATTTATTTATTTATTTCAAACTACCCCAATAGTTAGATTCATGTATAACGTATAAACTATGTTAAAACTATGTTAATAAAACTGTAGTGTAAGTTATTAAAAGGAAGGGCATTTATGAAAACCTAGTACACATATTTGACAAATGACTTGCTTACCTAATTTTGTAAATTCTTATTAATTTAAATATATAATATATTTAGAACTGGAGAGATATAGTATATATACTCCCTTTGGTCCTACTTATAGGTAGAGAGAGATTTTTTTTTTTTGTCTTATTTATAAGTCACATTATTAAATTTTCAACACAAATTTCTTCTTTTACTCTTTATTCAATGGTGAAAAGAGAAAATATGTTATTAAAATATGTATATGTAATATGGGTAGAGTTGATAGAGTTAATGAATTTTAATTTTTTTTAATTTTAATGAAACATGTTAAAAGTGACTTATAAATAAGATCAAAAAAATATATTATATTTAGTGAAGAAGTTGAGATTTAGAATGAGAAGGGCTAAGATCAAAAGCACATAGAATACAAAGTTTACATAAATTTTAGAACGGTCAATACATAATACATCTACAATACTTAAAAAAAAATTAAGAACTCGGATTGATTATGACAAATGCTAAAAATTCAACTATTGCGATGGAAGAAGGTATGAAACACACTACCATACACAATAAAACAAAAGAAAGTACAGGCACAACAGAATACTTCGTTTTTTTTTTTTATGGTTAAAATTAGTTGGTGTAATTAACTACTTTTATGAGTAGTTATGATCACTGAAACCTACCATTGTGTGGCATTAAAGAAAGGAAGATACTTGGCAAGGGCATAAATGACCAAGTAGCTGTGGGGACCATGATGATGATGACAAGGTCCCTCATCCATTGCGTTTGTAGCAGCATGTGCCCTTGCGAGATTGCCGAGTAGGGGACAAACCCTCCACATTTTCTTGTCATCTGTGGGCCGTTCGTACAACCCGGCCCATTTAAACCTCGTGTTTTTTTCCTATTGGGCCCCATTCTCAAAATTCAAATCCTACCTATGTTTGTTGGTCAGACAAATGAATTAGTGAAGTAGTTTTTTACCCGATGTAGTCAAAAGTTTCGGACGAGTTGATTGAGTTAGATTTAATTTGTTATCCTTTTGTTGAGCTTATGTTAACTCCGCCTATGTTAACTCCGCCTATGTTTATAGCCGGTCCCAAGCCCGGATAAAGGAGGAGGGTTGTGTTAGGCCATCAACAGCCAATGTAAAAATTTGTTGAATCTATCATGAACATGGACAATAGATGTTATAATGTTAATGCTAGGTCGTTGCCCGTAAGTAACGCGCTGCATGGCTCGAGTACAGTGATAAGTGAGTTAGAGCCGCTGCATCGGCGCCCGGATGTAGTGTTAAATGAGCAAGGGCTACCGTGTCATTCTGGACGCACGCGGCTAAAGAAGTTAGTCCATAAGAGCAAAATTAGATTTGGTACTTGAAATGTTGGGACATTAAATTGTAAATCTGTAGAGGTTGTA